GTGACACCGCACGTGCTGCCCTTCCCAGGCACGGCTGTCACTGGGCTGTCACCTGCTCTGTCACCTGGTCTGTCACCTGGGCTGTCACCTCGACTGTCACCTGGTCTGTCACCTGGGCTGTCACCTCGACTGTCACCTGGTCTGTCACCTGGGCTGTCACCTGGGCTGTCACCTCGACTGTCACCTGGGCTGTCACCTGGGCTTCACCTGCTCTGTCACCTGGGCTCCTGGGGAACCGGCTCTGCCCATGCTGTGGGGTCTGGCTCCGGCACAGGGACACGATCAGCCCAGCACAGACCCCCGGAGTGTTTGAAACCCACCCTGCACCACCAGAATCTCACATAGGAAACCAACTGGGAGCTCCCACTGCTCTGCCTTTTATTCCTCCACTTTTTTCCCCTTTTTCTTTCTTCAAATCTTCCTTTGAAACCCAAACTTCCTGCAGTTTGAAATGGACAATCAGGCTGCCCCGGCAGCTGCAGCCCAAGAGCTTCAGCTCTTGGCAGGAGGATCAGAACTACAAAACTATTTCTTTGAGGCAAATTATGCATTCATCCAGCTCATTTGAAACAAAATATGATTTGCAATTTAACTTTCCATAATGAGCTCCTGCTATTATACCGTTTCCATAATGGCTGGTTTCATTGGAACAGATTGTTGGTGCACATGGTTTACAAAACATTTTCAATGCAAGCCCCGTTTTTTCTTATTTTAAATAGCAACAGCTGCTAAGCATGATAATTATTGTATTTCATCAAAATAAACTTACCGAGTTGCTTCTTGATGCCACTCGTCACAATTTTCCAGCGGACCTGCAGGTTATTAAAGAAACTGAAACTTTAATTCAGCAAAGTGAGAGCAGCACCTCATCCAACTCCCTGCCACGGACAGGGGCATCTTCCAGACACCTTCCACAATCCCAGGCTGCTCCAAGCCTGGCCTTGGACACTGCAGCTTCTCTGGGCACCCTGTGCCAGGGCCTCAGCACCCCAAGGAAGAGCTTTAATCTCAACGTGCTCTCTGGGAGTGTGAAGCCATCCCTCCTTGTGCTGTCACTACGTGCTCTGGTAAACAGTCTGTCTCCATCTTTTGGCTATGAAACACCAAGAGCAGGCAATGAGAAGCTGTGGTAATTCATTCCTGGTTGCATTTACCTGCATCACTGTTTCCCGTGGTGTTCCCAGGACAGCTGCCAGGGCTCCCCGGCTCTGGAGCGGCCCCAGAGCTGCAGCCACAGGCACAGAGCTCCCATCCCCAAACACCCCCAGCTCCTGCTGACCTTCTCCAACACCTCCTCGAGTGGTGAAGGAGGATTTCCTGTTCCTTTCCTCCCTTCTGGAGGGAGGATAATGGCAGAGGGACAGGAGTTTATCAGTAAGGAGCAGGTGAAAGCCTTATTTGTTGAAAATTTTCTGGGGAACTTTTGAGAGATGTGTTTAGTGGCTGCGGTCGGCCGGAGATTTACGGATGTGCAGGATAATGATGCTGGAGAAGCTATTCCAGCCCCCAGTGAAAGGCTGCCCTTTACAGCACCTCAGCGTTTGGATTTAGATGACAGGTAGTAATGGCACCACAGAAACCATTACTGTCCATCAAGTAAATAATCAACACACCATTTAAACGGTTCGGCCTTACCCAGACTCTCATGAGCTATGGCAAAGAGTGAAAATCCCCCAAAAAATCAAACCCTGAAAGGACAAAGGATGATTTTGAGGAAGGAACAGCCTGCAGTAATAGGGACTAGGGAGCTTCCCTTGCAGCAAACAGCAGAGAGGGCAGCGCATTTGTCCTGATGTAGATGTGGAATTAAGGAAAAGCGGCGCAAGGCGAAGCTGTGCGCTGCAGCCAGGACCCAGCTGCCATTTCCCCTCGGCGGCTCGGTGCCAGCAGCAGCTCCCGCAGGCTGACAGCGCTTCCCCGCCGGGTTTGTCATCACAGCACCAACACGGCAATTAAAGCCTCCCTTGGGAGGCGAACGGGAGCGGCAGCCCCGGGACCGGCACAGCGAGGGACCAGCCGGGACTGGGAGCCGACTCCAGCTGCCCCGGGCAGAGAGAGAGAGAGAGATAGATGCACCAGCACCAGCACCAGTACCAGCACCAGCACCAGCACCAGTAGGAGCACAAACACCAGTACCAGTACCAGTACCAACATCAGTACCACCAGCAGCAGCACCAGCAGCAGCCCCGGGCCGGGCGCCCACCGTGGCCGGTGCTGCTCCAGCTGCGGGGAGCTGGTGGTGAGCCCGCGGTGCAGCCGCTGCTGGAGCCGGCACTGGCCCAGCAGGTCCCCGAGGTTCGGGATGGATCCTCGCTCTCCGCTCCTCGGGATCATTCCGAGGGCAGAGACGGAGTGTCCCCAAGTGTTGTTCCCTGGCCGCTCGGGGCCAGCCGCCCGCGCTGGTTTCGCAGTGTTTACGGTGCTCCCCCGATGATCTAACGCTGCACAAAGCCATTGTAGGATAAATATAGAGCACTGCAGCACCATAAATCAGGCGGCGCAGAGCACGGGGGGGATCGGGCTCACGGGTGGGACGTGGGTCCGCTGGCACTCGGAGAAGGGAGCGGGGGAATGTCGGGGTGGCCCCGGCACACCGGGCTGCTCTGTCCCCGCTGCGGGCACCGTGCCCGGCGGACACCACGGGCTATCGCACTGTTTATCAAGGTCTGGCGGAAAGAAAACAAAGTAATGGGACATTTGCTGATTCAATTCGTTGAATTTGAACAAATCTTTTTAATCCTCCTCCCCCGGGGATTGGAAAGGTCAGGAAATGGGAAGAATGTGCGCTTTCAGGTATTGAAATTAAACTTGTTAAGAAATCCATATTGATTTGCACTTCTCTGAAAAATATTGAAGCCTCCAGATTTAGCCTGGGTATCGATTTTCTCTTCCAGGGGAAAGACATCGGCACAAAGGGAAGATATTACACGAGGCAGTAAACACCTTCAATCACTGCCGGCTCTGCCCCCCCGAGCACAAACAAACAGCGTTTCTGTGTCCCCAGGGTGTCAGACCCTGCCCGCAGCCGGCTCCGTGCCCCACGCATTACAGGGTTAAAAAGGGATTTGGGCTGGGCCCTTAAGGCCCTGGTTTAGCCTTTGGTCAGCCACAATCAAAACCGATTGTTCGGGAAGCTCGAGATGGTCACTGCAGGTCCCTTCCAGCCCAACTATTCCACTCCATCCTCCCCGGTGTTTAGCGCAGCCAGCCCTTTCACTGCTTTCCTTTAAAATATTGCCCTAAGATGGGGGTGCAACTCTCCTTTGACTGTTTTTAACACAGGCAATCAGCAACTACGGCAATTAAGAGGCCTAATTAGCATCTGAATCAGCCTTCTCGAACAACCCCCTTTCCAATAGTAGCAAATAAGGGTGAGGGAGTTGCAGTTCTCCCTGTGAGGGTGGGCAGGCCCTGGCACAGGTGCCCAGAGGAGCTGTGGCTGCCCCTGGATCCCTGGAAGTGTCCAAGGCTGGACAGGGCTTGGAGCAGCCTGGGACAGATGTGTCCAGATGTGTCCAGATGTGTCCCCACCCTTGGAATGATGAGAGCTCCCTTCCAACCCAAAGCGTTCTGTGATTCTGTGAGAAAGTGCCTGCAGCCTGCGGGACAGGCAGCCCTTGCTGAGGCTGTTTATGGAGCTCCAGGGAGGATTTCACTCCAGCAGAGCTCCCGTGCCAGGTTTCCCAGCGGCCTGGCCGCTATTCCCGGGAAGGGTTGGGATGTGCCCCGTGAGCAGCCGCGCTCTGCCTTTGGGCAGCAGAGCCAGGGCGAGGCTGCCCAGACTCACACACTGCACACCAGATGTTCCCCTTCTGCCGAGAGCGGGGTGAGTGAGAGCCCTGCTGGCCCCACATCAGCCCCGGGGACCCTCTGGGAATCTGCCACTTCTGCCAGAAGGTTAAATAAGATTTCAATGAAGTGACACATCACCACAGAGCAACTGCTTCAGAGCTGCCTCCGCTTAGACGAGCTCTGCTCCAGTGGGAGAGTTTAAAGCCGAGCCTCGGTCTGCTCACGCACTCCCTGGCAGTCCCAGACTGACGTCCCTCCTCCCTGCCGGCCGCGCTGCGCCATTCTCCAGCGCCCACCGCAGGGCAGTGCGACCTATTCAGCCAAGGAACTTGCCAAACGGGACAATTTTATTGTTTTTCTCACGGATCTCCCAGCCATTAGGGGATCACACCCCATCCGCACGCGGCTGCAGCCGCTCCCGCAGCACCACGGTCGCGCGTCGCCCCCTCGGCTGTGCCCAGTCAGTCACCTCTGACTGCGTGTGTATCAGCTGTAGGGAAGGAATTCATTTTCTTGCAACATTAGAGGTGAATTAAACGCTGGATACTTGCTACCAGTCACTGGAGTAATTCTGCTCCTGAGTCCTTTCATGGCCTGGAGGGAGGGGAGGGACGGGAGGGGAGGGAGGGAATAAGCCCTTTCGAGACCACAGAAAATTGCAAAAGGATGTTTCTTCCAACCCGACATGACAAAATTGAATTCCAAGCTATTTAATGCATGCACGAAACGCCATAGAGGAACCCAGCCCGAGCACTCCATCCAGCACGACAGGGAAAAGGGTTCGGAACACAGACATCGCTCCGGCACTAACTCAGTGCTTCCAGCTCCGGACTTCCAGGCGATTCCACTTAAGTGTAACTACCGGGTTAAGGGTTCTCACAGACAGGGCTATCGCCAGCATTTCCATGGACACACAGCTATGGGAACACTGCGGTTATGATCACACGAACGATGGAGACCTCGGGAAGCCGCTGTCCCGGGGGGTTGGAGCCCGCTCAGTCCGCAGGGCACTGGGGCCAGGGTCCCCTCCCCGCCGGGGGTCCCGCTCCCACCGCGGGCGCGGCAGCCGGGCCCGGCCGGTGGCATTTCAGGAGCGAAAAACCAGCAGGGCCACGGGGAGCCTCTGGGTTTGTCCTTAAAAACGGGGTTTCACAGGTTACACCGTCACGAGGGTGATGCCATGCAGCCTGCCCACGGCCCAGCCCGCCTCAGACCGGCGTGGTTCGTCTGTTGGCCGGGTTGTTGTGCAAAGACTCCTTGAACTCTTTGGGGATGGAGTTATGGACCTGTAAAAAACCGTGGTCCCGCTCCGAGTTGAGCAGCGTCCCCATGGTAACCTTGGAGGGATCCCTGGAGAGGGTGAACATGGAGATGTCGGTGGAGGGGATGGTGCTGAAGCCTTTGCTGATGGGCGACATGTCCCGGGAGCGGGGCTCGGTGGAGCGGGAGCTGGACCGCCGGCGGAAGCGGTACCTGTAGGGGGGGAGGCGGGTGAAGGCCGACTTCTTCAGCAGCTCCGAGTGGGACCGGGCGCGGATCTGGCGGTGCTTCTCGATGTACATGTGCACGGCGATCACCCCCACCATCTCGGCGATGATGAAGGACAGCGCTCCGAAGTAGAAGGACCAGCCGTAGGAGTAGCTCTTCTTGGAGTCGCTCTGGCCCGGGTCGCCCGCGTTGGCCGAGATGTAGACGATGATCCCGATGATGTTGCTGAGACCTGCGGCGGGGACAAGCGGGACAGGCGCTGACCTGGGTGGCAGCAGTGGATGGGAGGGCGTGTCCCCACGGGCCACCACCCCCTGTGCCAGCACACTCGGCCCAAATCCCCTTGCAGACCCCTGCCGACCTGCCAGGATACCTTTACATTCCCTTACACATTCCCTTATTCCTGTGTGTTCCTGGGAACCAGAAAGGAAGGAGGAATAACCGCTGTTCTGTCTAGAAAAGGGACATTTCAGGAGCTGGTTGTGCTTTGCTTTGCCGAGCAGTGAATGTGGGAGCCCAACAGCAGCAGAGCCAACCTGAGGGGCACAGGGGGATCCCCCCAGCATGAACCCCAGCTCAGCACGGCCCTGGGAGCACGGGGAAGCTGGAATGGCTCTGTCTCTTTCCATTTCTGCTGGAGTCCTGAGGCGTTGTTTGGGACAGGGGCAGCCTGTGCCCCACCAGCAGCCAGCGGGGCCGTGCTGCAGGCTGGGGAGAGGCTGGTGCATTCCCAGATTTACTTAATGAATCGATTATGTTCTCTCTGCTGTTTTCTCATCTGCATCAGCAGCTCCTGCCAGCCAAGGAGGGAGAGTCATTTGTCTTTTTGTGGGGAGAAGAAAAACACAAAATAGAGCGGTTCCTTGAGACAAAGCCATTGTCACACAATAATCAGGGGAAGCGTTGGTGAACGACACAGAGAAATGAGTAATCCAGCAGGAACAGCCTCTCCGAAGAGTGGTTTCCGTGTGGCAGCCCCTCTGCCTGGTCCTGCAGCTGCTGGCACAGTGCCCACTGTCTGTCCAGGGATGGAGGAGTCCCTGTCCCAGGGGAATGGCTGCACCCTGGAGCCCTGTCTGGCACAGTGACCATGGCCAGGGACCCCTGATGGTTTTTTTCCTGCTGTGGGGATTTTCCCACAGGGCTGGAACATCTCTCAAACCTCAGGATGTCTCTGTGCTGACAGCCTGGGAGGACCCACAGCCCGCCTCCTGCTCCCCCGTGCCCCCCAAGACCGGAGGAGCCCCTGGGCAGCTCCTACCTGCAGAGACGAAGAAGATGCCGGCGCTGAGGATGACGTTGTGTTTGCTCTTGTAGAACTCGCTGGCGGCCACACACAGACCCCCGAAGAACAGCAGCCCCACGCTGAGGATGGGGAAGATGCTGGATGCTCTCACTGCACCTGTGGGACAGGAAAAGGGGCAGGATCAGCCCCCAGCACCCCCTGCACCAGCACCAGCACCTGGGGATCGTGCAAGGGCATCCCTTGTGCTGCCAGGATGGATGGGGAGACCCAGCACCGGTCCCCACCATGAGTCCCCTGCTTGTCACGGAGTCCTGGAATGGTTTGGGGTGGAAAGGACCTTCAAACCACCCAGTGCCACCTCTTGCCGTGGGCAGGGACATCTTCCACCTTCCATATCCCAGCTTGATCCAAACCCTTTCCACCCTGGCCTTGGGCACTGCCAGGGATCCAGCGACAGCCACAGCTTCTCTGGCACCCTGTGCCAGGGCCTGCCCACCCTGCCAGGGAAGGATTTCCTCTGAATAAATCACCTAAATTTCCCCTCTGTCAGGGGGAAGCACAGCAGTGCCAAGGCAGGCTGAGGGTGCCCCTGGGGGCGAGGGGCACTGTCCCCTCTGTGTCAGCATGTGCCAGGCACCGTGACAAATGACACCCCTGACATGCAGAGCCACATGCATGTGCCAGACTGCTGAGGGCTCACCCCAACCTCTGCACCTCCAAACTGCAGCACCAGGGGGGCACACGGCAGCCCTGGGCTCTCCCCGAGCTGCTGGGGCTGGAAGGAATCCCGGGAGAAGGGCACAGTGCCCATGGCCTGGTGCTCAGCCCCAGCCCCCTGAGTGACCCAGCTGCTGCTCATCCAGCTGTTGCTCTGAACTCTCAAATTTCCACACCTCTGCTCACCCAGCAGAGAGGAGAGTGACTTTAATGAAACGGCTTTGCAGTTTTACTAGATTAGCGCTGAAGTTCTCCCACCCCCTCTCACATTTAAAGTAAAAAGTCTATTTTAAAGCCCCCAGGAGTGGAATTTTAATGGAGCTTCTCTGTATTTCTCTGCTTTAATAACGGCCCTAATGGAGGGATGAGAGCCCAAGCCAAGGCACAGTGTATTTTTGGTGCAGCAGGTAGTGATCTGCTGCATTCATTACTCTCAACTGTCATTTTGGAAGCTGATCCACGTAGGGAAGTGGACCAGGCTGGGATTTAAGGTCCCTTCCAGCCTGGGCCATTCTGGGTTTCTATGTGAAAGCCTGAGGTCCTGCCCTAAAGCTCTGCTGGCCCCTGAGACAGGAGGACCCACTTTTCCCAGGAAACCTGCCAGCTCCATTTCCCTCTGTCTCCACCTGCAGAGCACCTGGCAGCGCTCCCTGTGCTCCCCAGCAAATCCAGCCTGGCTGGAGGCTGGGGGGACAGGGACACCAGCACGAGACGTGTCCCTGTGCTGCCACAGCTCTGACCTGCGGGGTCCCCATCCCCAGGGGGACACCAAGAGACCCAGGCCGTGCAGCAGCTGCTGGGAGTGGCAGTGGGCGAGGCGAGGGCCGGCGTGACATTAGCACATTGTCTGCGTGTGGCACGGGTAAGCCAGAGGGTCCTGGTGCTGCAGGAGAGCCAGGGGGGCCGTGACCCCTCCCCTCCTGCTGCTGACAGGGAAGGGGTGCCCTGCAGGGTGAGGGGGCCCAGGGCACGCGTGCCACAGGCGAGCAGACTCACGGAGGAGATACTCGGCCGTGTCTTGCTCGTAGTCTGCATCCTCAGGGAAGTGGTCGATTTTCTTGCACACTCCTCGGAAGGTTCCTGGGGAGACAGAAGCCAGGAAATGCTCAGGACCCTGCTCTGTGCAGGATGTGCAGCAGCCCAGGGGCCTTCATGTTCTAACTGGGGACACTGAGGCACAGTGTGGGACTGCTCTGGAGCAGAAGGGACAGGGAGAGGGGGCAGGAGCTGAAACATCTCCCCAGAAGAGCAGCCCCCTCGGCGTCCTGGCTCTAGAGCACGCGCTCAGGTCATGCTGGCTCCATCCCCTCTGTCCTCAGGAGGGACAAGTCACCAGGGACCAGGGTCCGGACAGGACGAAGCAGCCCGCAGGGTGTCCTGCCCGCTGGCACACTCCCAGGCTGTGCTGGGGGAGCTGAGCGGCACGACAGGCATCAATTAGAGCCTGAAGATGAAGCTCTGGAGGAGGCAAGCTGTCACCCAGAGGGAGACACAGCATCCGAGGGAGAATCGCCTGCTCCCGTTGCTTTGGGAACTGTGGGAGAAGGGGATGCACTGGGCGCGGTGAGGACACCGGCTCCACAGCACAGCCCCCAGCCTCCTCCTCCTCCCAGCTCTGGGCTTCCACCCACCTTCTCGCAGTGCCCAGAGCCGGCAGACTCTGCCCCACGCACCCCAGAGCTGCCTCCCACGAGCGCCTTTGCTCGGCAGCCACCCGGCACCGCCGGAGCGGGGCTGCACCGATGGAGCCCCGGGCTGAGCCGGCACGGCTCCGGCTGCCGGGGGAGCCCCGGCTCCACCGCATCCATTCACACTCTGACATTTATTCTGTCTCCTTTACTCCCCCTGTTCAGCAAAGGATGCTCGTCGTCATGGCAATGCTGAGCCACCTGACACACAGCTTCAGCCTCCAAACACACGCCACGACAAGGCTGCGATCCCCAAAATCCCCTCTGACCTCCAAGGTGCTCCCCAGGGAGGGAATCCTGCCCCTGGGAGCTGCGGCTGGAAATGGCTCCAGGGCTGGACGAGGCAGCTGCTCGGGGTCCTGGCTGGGGACACAGCCCCCGCAGCAGCTGGGCCATGTGTCACATCCTCTGCCAGCGGGTCCCCGTCCCCCAGGCACGGCAGACACAGCTCTGAGGGCGAGCAGCGCCAGCTCTGCCAGCGGCCGGTGCCAAAGGGCAGGAGCCACAGGGCAGGAGCCACAGGGCCGATGCCATCGCCTGGTGCCATCGGGCCGGTGCCACCTCCCTGCTCACCCTCCGGCAGGAGCGGAGCAGGCTGTGCCCCAGCCCCACGCAGCTGCAGCTCAAATTCTCCATGGAGCGATCCCACCTCAGTCCAGGGAATCCCCTCCAGCTGGAAAGCTGCCAGGGATTTGTGTGTGCCCGCAATGGGACCGCGGGGTGCCACCCTCGGGGGGTGACACCCAACTCCCCCGGCAGCGATGGCACTCGCACCCTGCGGCCGCAGCTTTGGAGGGCAGAGCCCGTGCCCGGGCTCACCCCGCGGGGTCTGTGAGAGCCCCCGGATCCCCGGATCCCCGGAGCCCCCGGATCCCCGGATCCCCGGATCCCCGGATCCCCGGATCCCCGGAGCCCCCGGATCCCCGGATCCCCGGATCCCCGGATCCCCGGATCCCCGGAGCCCCCGGATCCCCGGAGCCCCGGATCCCCGGAGCCCCCGGATCCCCGCAGCCCCGGGCCGCAGCGTTTGTGCCCCCCCGGCTCTCCCTCCGTGCGCTCAGCTCCCGCCCCGCGTTTATCGGCACATGCACAGGCAATGAACTGATTCCATCTCAGGCTGTTTTCCTCTCAGAGCCCTTTTCCCCAGGGAGGGCTGGGGGGACGGGGAGGGTGTTGTGAGGGAAATACGGTTGCAGTGGTGGAAATACAGCCAAGAATACCGATCCCAGCCCGACGAGCCAGAAGAATAAAGAGCTCCAGTTACGGTGTTAAAACCTCATTATTTTCATCAGGTGGAGAGGTTTTCCAGGCACCGTCCTGGGTGCTACTGGTGTGTGCAAAGGAAGACTCTGAGGAGGACGAGCTGAGACCACCCTTAAATGAGAACAAAATTCCCTGCTCCCCTCGTCGTGGCTCAAGAGTCAAGGTCACATTTCAGCCCTCAGCTCTCTGCTCCTCCTGACAAATCCAAGTGAGTTATCTCCCAAGCTGTGGTTTCCAGTAATGGCCTTCCTAAGGACACTGAGCCCATCTGAAGGACGTGGAGGGTCATTAAGTTCTCTGAAAATTAATATTTTGGAGAACCAGAGGTCGGAGCTGAGCTGGGAAGTGCTGGGGTAGGAAGGAACCTGCTGCACAATCCCAGAGATGCTCAGGCTCTTCGCTCCCTGACTAACAAGAGCAAGATACCTAAATATCTCCGAGGAATTAAAACTTCAGGGCTCATCTTTTTTTACCTCCCACCCACCTCCCAGATGCTTGGAGAGATGGAAAGAAATTCATCCGTATTCTTTCCCTTCCCCAGCTCCAGGCTCTGCAGGGATCCTGAAACTCTTTGCACGAGGTCCCTGGTGTGAGATTGCAGAGCTCTGGGGTTTGGGCTCTGCCTTAGCCAGGGCTGGCACCCAGCGGCCACTGCCCGGGGCTCGGCGGCACCGAGCAGCTCCTGTGGCCCTGGGAAGGCTGGGCTGAGCCTCAGCCACCCCCCAGCACCTTGTTTGCCTCCTGCATCACCAAATTTTCAACACAGCCCGAGTTCAAAGACACACAGCAGCTAAACCGAGCCTCAGAGCAGGCCGGGGGGATGGCTCCAGGCCCTTGGTCTGCAGTAAGGACCAGCCCCGCTGGAGCTGAGGACAAGG